TTTTAAGTTCCATTATCAAGTAAGTCTTGAACTATTCATCATAAACATCTTACATTGTAGTATGTTATATAAATTAATCGTCGTACAATGAACATTTTTACAATATATTATTTTTAGAGTAGCCTCCGAATATTTCTTTTGTTGTGTGCATTTAAATCCTATCAATGTTTTCACTGTTTTAGGGGCTGTTTCTCTGGAGGCGAATTAAACCAGCTTGGGTACCCAAGCCAGCCCGCTTTTCCGAGATGAATTCTATTCCTGTTTAAATACTACTCATAAGACGAGCTGGCTCACCAAGTTACTAAAAACCACGTTTTGCGGCCAAATTTCATAGTTTTAACTTCCAAAATCGATCGCATAAGCATATTAAAATCCAAATCAATCGAGAAAATGTTATTATAACGTTAAATTCGTGTAAAGGGAGAATTAACACCCAGTTAGTTTAGCCAGCCCGGGTAATTGTGTTTATATGGAAATTGCCCAGCCCGGCTAGCCAAGATCCCAAGTGAGCCGAGCTGGATCTCGGTTAGGCGGGCCTGCTCGGTTTCCATATAAACACATGAGATAATTCACTAGAAAATAATAACAAACACGAGATCTCGCCAAAACCGGGCTAGCTCGGGTATCCGGGCTGGCTCGCCCCATGTAAACAGCCCCTCACTTTGTCCTAGAAAATGCTGAAACCAGGAAACAAATTAATCATTACATTCCTACTTATATGTCTACAAGAATACTTTTCGAAGTATTGGCGACGTAGCAATTCTATTACTATCACGTGGTAAAAGTTTTGCACTTTCATACCGAGAGTAGATTCTTTGCACTGGCATAAAACACGACGGTCCACCTTCGTCATATTCTGCTGACCATACTTGTACAGGATTGCCAATTTCATTAAAATTCTCGTCTGCTTTGCACCACCTCACACATGCAAATGTGTGAACTATGGAAAATTCTTTTAAATTCACAACATGCTTGAAAAAATATCTCACTATACCGAGGGTAAGAGAAAACGTTTCCACGTTAATTGTTCCATCTTTGGAATGCCAAGATGCGAGAATTCTCGAAGATCGAACTGATCTAGTTTCCATCTTTGAACCAAATGTTGTGGTTCCAAAGGTAATGCGACCAAACTTCTGAATAAGTTGACTCATGTCGTTTAACGTGAATGAAATATCCGGATGCATTATACTGTATACTGTTAAGAGCAGCGTTGCATCATCTGAGTCTAAATACGAAAGTTTGTGGTTTGACGGACAGAAAACACCACAATCATTTCTCCAAACGCTCCCAGTTGGAAGTGGTGATAATACCGCCAAGTTGTGGAAAACGTATCTCTCAGTCCATGAAAAATTCTCCAGCCATTCATGGCTAACATCATTATTGTTTAAGGCACACAGAGAAAAAGGTTCATATTTATAAGAGGTTGGTAGTGCATTTTGATCAATGAAACGCGAGATTTGAAATCTTCGCATGAGTTGCAATTCAACTGATCTCTTGTTTGTTGGATTACTTCCAAGAATGCCATTAAATCTTTCGAAGGAAAAACACCAGAAGCTCGCAACTGGTCCATGATCAATAAGTATTTCCTTCAGATGGTAGTGAAGGTGCATATTTGGTTTTATACATTCTTTTCCATATATGGTTTCGACTTCTCTACAAAACTTAACAAAAAGTCCATCAGCAATGTGTAAATCCGTTTCAGAGATAATACCTTGGCAGATGTACTTGCATGCAAGAACAAAGGTCTGCCAACATTTATATTCATTATCAGGTAGAATTTCTTTTAAACAAACTAGTGAATATAGGAGTGTCCAGTTTTTCCATTGTTCTGCAGTGTACGATCCATGGTTTGAAGAAATATTTGCAGGTAGACGACCTAAGTCACTTGGAATTTCTATTGTCTTAATTCGATCCTCTATCTTTTCTAGATCTTTGCTCGACATTCGGTTATTAGTCCATATCTTGAACATTGCTTTTGCAGTTCCTAGAAACAGGTTATGCATTGGATCAATGGTAAAAAATCTTATGGCATCAAAATACTCCAAGTCAAGAAGAACGCTGTAATGTGTGATACCATTATCTCGACAGAATTTATCTCGTTCGGCCTGTGTCTTTATTCCTGCAATCTTTTTTGCTACCCGTCTGTGCTTACTATTTGTTCTTGGTTCCCACATCCCTTTATCAAATCCGGAGTAATCTTTACGTTGCCCAAAACCGCCAGGAAATGACTTGAGACATCGAGAGCAACCTTTGTAACCTGAATGGCTTTTAAAACCACCCAACTTTCTAGCGGCAGGCACGTCGCAAGAAACCGCCAAAATAGCTGCTCTGAACGTCAATGGAAACCGGCTAAGGGTAGAACTTAATTTGATGCCTTTCCACAGACATTGTAATTCTTTGATGGCGGGTTTCAAGAACGGATTCAGGTTTTTAGGTTCCTTACCGAGTGAAGGTACAATACCGATAATAATCACGTTCTCCCACTTGAATCTTTCTGCCCTTGGTAAGTTTAGAAGCACAAGATAAAAAACTCCTACAGAATAATCGTTCCTTCTTTTCAATGGCTGGAAAAAATCAAAATTAAGCGTGAGTCCATAGTTCCGGTATGCTTTGCGAAAATCTTTTCCATCATACGTCAAGAACTCCTTCCAAATGTTGCCATCATAAACATCTGCCATCTTGCCATCAGGAGTATTCCTACTTCTCCAGTGCTCGCATTTCTCGGCAAATCCTTTTTTCCCTAACAGTTTTTCCAATGAGTTAATGATGCTATTGGAACAATAGTAATGGATTGGGTAAAAACAATTTTCGCCATTATTTAGCTGAACTTTGTAAACAAGTTCCTCACCGCATTGTTTTTTTTTTCCCTTTGGAATGTCGCACACCGCAACATTTTTTTCCAACTTTTCGGTTATTGACAGTTTTCAAGCATTTGTTATATTCATAAAGGCTGTGGCGTTTTGAACAGACGACAAACTTGTCAAAGTTATCCCGATCAAAATGAAAAAACTGCCTGAGCATGTACAATGTTCCAGGAAATGCTGTCACAATCTGGGCTAAGATATCAGATGGCACTATTACGCCAAGCAATTTAAACCAACTTGACAAGAATTTTAGAAGCCATGCCATTCCATTTTCACTAATATGACATGATGTTTGCCATATTAAGAGAAAATATAATAACCAAAATAGAAGTGAATGTACTGTGTCTTTATTTTTTTCTTTGATAGGCAGAGGTGGTGGGTTTTCAATATCTTTTATTAGATCGTCAATAAGAAGATCATTCCAAACTTCGTCACCTGCACTTTCTTCGTCAGTTGATGAATCACTCAATGTACTGGCTTCTGACGGATACATATCACAGTCGTTTGGATCGTTTAGTGTGTTCTCGCCAACAGAGCTTGCCCCGTCGGATTCCTATACCAAATGTTACATATAATGTAATTTTAGCTAAATTAATATTAAAAGGGAACACGAGCAATTTGAATTGCGTTGCCATAGAAATCCATAATTTTATCTGTAATACAGTACGTATCTTCTGTTATAATACAATATTACGATATATTACTTTCAATGTTAATATTACCTACTCTTTGTTTGGGAGAACGAGAAATAATGATTGAGTGAACGTTTTAATTTCGAAGCTCTAGGGCAGGAAATTTTTCCGCGTGTTTCTATATGCTTATGAAAACACGGTTCTTGACCAATCAACGCTCGCGTGCATGTACGATCAATGTTATATTATAAATTACTTTAGTATCTCTGGTGATTTGCTGTAGGGTACTTGGCTCTTACCATCAAGTCATCATTTCCACCCTGTGGCTCTGAAGCTGTATTCTGGTTAGAATTGCTGTATTGAGAGTCTGCTGAAAGTGAAGACTGACATTTAGTAAAAAATTATGTGCAAAATTTCAGTATTATTTAAGAAATAGAAAACGAGTCGCGTGCGTTTCTGGTGTGATAACCATAAACGCACGAGACGAGTTGTTCTATTCCTTTTATAATATAATTAGAAGATACTATGTAGTGAACAATTTTACTCAAAAGATCGACATTGAAATTCTCCTAACATGTACTCAGTGACGTCGCGCGCATACTTTCACCGTCGCTTGAATTTTAAAAAACTTGTCGAGACAGCAACAAATTCGACGAATGCCAAGCCGGTTAATTTTACACGTAGAACTAGAAAAATTGCTTTGTTCCTTCCGTCTATTCCTTTTTACTTTGTGATAAATTTGGTATTTTAAAAGCTCTATAATGTTGTTTATATATTTTGGCTAAAAAGCAGAGATGAAGCGGGGGAAAACACAGAAAGAGCAAAGCAGTGCCACAGACCACAGTGCATTATTGCGTCACAATGCACGCGCATTAGCCAATCAAATTGCCTGTTATATCCCACTTATATTATAATTATTCTTATATTATATTATATTATACTGTGGCGTATATTAATATATTTCTGCTTCTTGTGCCTTGCACCCTTTTAATTTAATATTTCTAATTGCTTTGTATAGCAAACCACTGATGAATCATTCTAGTTTACTTCAACAGTTCTTCATGCTTACTATATTTATCCGATTTTTCATGCAAACATATGCACTATACTGTATCTTCATAAAGGTGTGCAGTATATATGTATATGACAATATGTATATATCTTCTCGCTTAAAATTTTTACGCAGGTAATAGAAATAAGCTCCAAGCGAGACCGTTGTATCTCATCTGTATATGTATGAAGCAAGCTAGCGATTTCACTGTTTTACATTAAAATGATAAAAAATAAACTAGCTGCTCTTACCGCCGTTATGTTGTATCTCGGAGTCACTATCGGTGCTGTCACTCGATGATTCTCCAACAATATTTTGGTACGATTTCCGAAGCGCACGTGGATGGTTTCTCTTGTTTTCGTGCCTGTTCCTCGTGGACCTTGACACTAGTTGATCACAATGACCGCACATAACCAAATTCCTTGACTCTTCCATTTTCAACCCAGTCTAACACGACTCAAAAACCAATCGCAGTTGCAAGTCGAAATAAAAATATTGTGGCTCGTGTATAATGCGGCTATACTGGCGAAGATCAACAATGGTCAATGCAACAAACGAAGCCACTATATATTTAATTTAAAACACCTGGCCGGATGTAACAGAACTCTCGTTTGTACGGAAACCCTGGGGATCGTCATTTACTGTTTGGAATAGCAAGAGTCCGTAATGGCGATAGTTTTTCCAATATGTTTCATAATAGTTTCGGTTGGGTATTTACAAACTGTTCTAAACGTAATAACGGCGGTGTCCGCAAGGCAAGAGTTAACTTAATATGGGCAATATAGCATTGCGATATTTGAACATAAATTATTTTGCGCAGCCAATGGCCATATGTGCGTCTTCAGTTTTGTATCAATAAGCTAGATTTGAAACATTTTTGATGAAGGGATATTTTCAACGTCTTGTATTTAAAACACCCGCAAGATAATTTCTAGGACTGTAATTATACACAAAAACCAATCTGGTGTGGGCCTTACTATATTAGCATGCAATTTAAGGAGATTTCCGGATGCGCTTAAACAAACATTAAATGTCACAGTTGATTTAATTAAGATTCAGGGTTCACATTAAATCATTAAAGACAAATGTTAATCTTTAGTGCGCTTAAAGTGCGACCTTAAAGTAACTTAAAATTATATATCCACATTGCGCAACATAGTCATTATTAAAGCCCATTAAAGCTTACTTAAACAATTCTTAAATGTCAGGCACATTTAAGGGAAACTTAAAACCAACTTAAAGCTTCAACTCAACATTTAAGAAACTTTCGGTTTTCTTTAAAGCTAATTAAATTCGGATTTTCATCCTGTGAAAAGTATATCTTCAGTGCGCCAATGTCGCGGAGATGTTTTACTCTCGATGTTCATTGTTGAAATGATGTATAATTTGTAGTCACAGGGCTTTTATACGAGTTCAGCCAGGCTTTCCAAAATAGGACTTAGTAATAGTCCAAGGAAACCTTCACCATGCTGAATGAGTATCCGTTTTTTTCTTCTTCCACATTTTCCTCTATCTGCCAACCTAAGCATTTCATGTTTGTAAGGTCGGGGTTTCTTCATTACATGCTTCGGCATTAAATATTTTCTTTTCATAACGTTTTCTACACAGAGACACAGGCAGTGTACTTGCCCGGCAGTTGCTGTTTCCAGTAGTGCTTGTTGTTGATCAGGCTCAGACGTGCCCAACAATTCAAGAAATGGCTTGTGCCTTAGAAGATTGATCATTTCTGTTCGACGGTTTGGAAGCAAATGAGTAAAACACAACAATAAGGAAGCTTATATCGGAAGAGAGAAAGCAATTTAGACAAGGCTCCAAGCTATTGAGAGTTCGACTCTGAGCTTATCGAACTTGACTCCTTGTGCATGTCAGATAAGGAAGATAAGAGGATAAATATAGGGAAGATAAGGATAAAGATAAGAGGTAAATATAAGGAAGATAAGGATAAGGAAGATAAGAAGATAAAGATAAGAAGATAAAGATAAAGATAAAGATAAAGATGAAGGTAAAGATAAGGAACATAAAGATAAGGATAAGGAACATAAAGATTAAGATAAGGAACATAAAGATTAAGATAAGGATAAAGATAAGAAGATAAAGATAAAGATAAGGAAGATAAAGATAAGGATACGTAACATAAAGATTAAGATAAGGATAAAGATAAGGAAGATAAAGATAAGGATAAAGATAAAGAAGATAAAGATAAAGAAGATAAAGATAAGGATAAAGATAAAAATAAGGAAAAGAATAAAGATAAGGAAGATAAAGAAGATAAAGATAAGGAACATAAAGATTAAGATAAGGATAAAGATAAGGAAGATAAAGATAAGGATAAAGATAAAGATAAGGATAAAGATAAAGATAAGGAAGATAAGGAAGATAAAGATAAGGAAGATAAGGAAGATAAAGATAAGGAAGATAAAGATAAGGAAGATAAAGACAAGGATAAAGAAGATAAAGATAAGGAGGATAAAGATAAGGATAAAGATAAGGATAAAGATAAGGAAGATAAAGATAAGGATTAAGATAAGGAAGATAAACATAAGGATAAAGATAAGGAAGATAAAGATAAGGATAGAGATAAGGAAGATAAAGATAAGGATAAAGATAAAGAAGATAAATATAAGGAAGATAAGGATAAAGATAAGGAAGATAAAGATACAGAATAATACTGGATCGATGCATTAATGAATATATAGAACGAATACGCCAATTTATTATCACTTGCAGCTAAACGTTCGTGGTGTGAACATGTCCTTTCCGTGCAATATATGTGCCAAAGTATTTTCAACACGCGGTAACCTCAAGCGTCATACTTTGAATACCCATGGAGATGTTCAAAGCAAACCAGTTGAAATCTCAGCAGGATCTACAGTTTTGCAGCATCCTTTCACATGTATCGTAGCTGGGTGTACCCAAAGCGGCAAGACTGAATGGGGAAAATCTCTCTTGGAGAATGCACAGAAAACTATAAGTCCTGCTCCTCAACGTATCATTTGGTGTTATGGTCAATGGCAACCCTCCTATTTTGATATGATGAGAACGATGCCTGGAATCGAGTTTAATCAAGGCATCCCCGAAGACATCGACAACGCACATTACTTGGACGTATCGCAACGGAATTTGATCGTATTGGACGACCTTATGGCTCAATCTGGCAAAGATAAACGTATTTCTGTTCTTTTTACGAAAGGAAGTCATCATCGGAATTTATCTATCATCTATATTATTCAAAATATATTTCATCAAGGCAAAGAAATGAGAAATATCAGCCTAAACGCCCATTATATCGTGTTGTTCAAGTCACCAAGAGATAAAGAACAAATTTCTACGCTTCCAAGGCAAATAAATCCCGGAAAAGTACAAGAATTTATGAGGAGTTATGAAGATGCTACGAGCCGACCTCACGGGTATTTGATGTTTGATTTAAAGCCAACAACAGATGATCAGAAACGACTCAAGACCAACATACTCCCGGTGAGATTGAAAAATTTATTCAAAAACAGTCGTATCGACAACCACCACTTGTAAATGCCATGTATGATGCCGAGCAGCGAATGAAAGAAATCATGGATGCACCACAGCTTAGCGCAGTGGAAAAAAGCAAATTATACTCTGATCAACTAAATCGGTTTCTCACATTCAAAAATAAGATGGATGTCCCAGCTTAAGCTCCTGTTCAGACAACTCCACTAGTGCCTGCAGAAATACCACAACCCAATGAATTTGTTGAGATAGTACCACCAGTGCCTGCTACTCCTAAACATAATTTCCTTACACCACCACCAACAGAAGAGGAACGGCCAAAACTCAAGCGCAATTTTTTTCACAATTGGGTCGACCCAGCAGATTGAACCGAACGTGAGCGATAGACCGAAATATATTCCAATGAAGCCGGAAAAACTTGCAAAGTTATTCCCAGAAGATAGACAAGAATATGAGAACTCTTTAAAAATAACAGAAACACCTAAACGTTACGCTTTTAGAAGTAGACCTTACTAAATTTTGTAAAACGCTTTGAAGAAATAAATGTATTTAAAAACTGAAATATTGTGTAAATTTTTGCCGGCAAAGCCCGCTCTTTCCACCCGCGCGAAAAGATCCGTGTACAAATATGTTGTACTTTAATATATGCATGCAGCCGCAAGGCCACGCGTCTGATTTTAAGGTATACACCGGCGTTAAAAATAATCCCTATCTATCCATTGGGATACACCCAGTTATGCAAATTCGTATTGCCTTAATCCCCTTAATTACCTACACACCTCCTAATGACTTAGCAACACATAACAAAGCAACATTTGTAAAGTTTAAAACATGTTTATTGATACAAATAACAGACGATAGTGTAAAAAATATTACAACTAAAACTATTTGTTAAACTGTTCTATAAGTTTTTTCTCCATGAGTTCTTGATAAGCTTTCTTATGATCTGCCTCAAAACTTCTAAATCGTTCACCCGTCGCCTTCACAGAATACATGTAACTCGGTGGGTAAGAGAAAAACGCTTCAGCTACGGACTCGAGTGGGTCTTCTAATCTCCAATGAAACAAATAGTTCAGTATGCATTGTAGTTCGTGGTTCTCAGTGTTCTGATGTAGTTCCATCAATGAATCGACAAACGCAGAATCTGGATCTTTTTCCAGTTGCTGTAAATGTTCGAGTACATCTCTATCAACCACCAGTTTTAGTACCCTCATTGCCTCAGCGAATTCATTCCAAACCGTACGCCTACCATTCACTCGTTCGATCGCTTGTAAACCATACATTTGCCATCGTTCGTTTTCGTTCATCACGAGGCAGTCATGTTGTCTTTGACTAGGATGACCGACTTGACAACCATTACAGGATTCCACACAAAGTCTTTCAACTTCTTGTGCGACTGCATTCGCAAAAATTCCTTCCAATAAATTGTAAGATGTGGTTATACCGTGTAGACACGCCATGACTGATGTAGAACTAATACAGAACTATGCCTGCTACAAGACACTTGTCGATTTTATACAGACACTTGTATAAAAGTTCATAGTAAGCCAATCCTAATCCCTCAATTTTATCATACACGCGGAGAGACGCTAAAAAATGCATAGTCAGCAAGTTTCGCCCGATCGTGTTTAAGCTCGCCCGCGCGACGTCATTGCATATAATTATGACGCATGTTAATGAGTGACGTCACTACGCACCCTCATTTGTACGAGTATTAATTATAAATGAGGTGGTGGACACCCACCACCACACACCACCACCACCACCACACACCAACACCACAACCACACCACAACCACACACCAACACACACCACCACACGCCACCACCACAAAAAAGGGGCCCGATCGGCCACTATATTACTACTGCTCGGCTATTTGAAAGGAAAGCTCCGCTATTTGAAAAGGAAGTTCTGCTATACGAAAAGGGAGCTCTGCTTTTTGAAAAGAAAG